AGTTGTACCTCAGGTTCAGGTGCCAGTAGAAGAGGTCGATGATGAAGAATTGGTACCAACACCTGAGTTCGCTCGGCGACAGCCGGAAGCACAGGTTGAGCACACTAGAAGGTTTAAAAGGAAAGCTGAGACCGACCGAGAACAGTTGGAAAGAGAGATCCGTGAAGACTCGGAGGAACTGCTTCAAACAAACATGGATTTTGATTGGTTTTGGGTTGGTAGTGGTGAACCTGTGTTGGTTGCGAGTTTGGGTACACTTGAAGGTCCAGCGTCTTTTGCTCCGGCAACATCTCCAGAAATGTTTTCTGGTTCTCTTGATTCTGTTTGTTTCAATCGAGGCAATGAGCATGATTTTGTGAAGATGCGTCTTGGAGGTCAAGATGTCTTGGTCTGGAAACCGGACAGTATCATAGATGACCAGAGTTTGCAAGAGCTTGATTTGGAACAAGGTTTCAAAGGTATGCAAGAGGAGGTTAGGAACTTGGAACACTGCAAGACTGGCCGCATCATCACCCAGTCAGAACTGGACGACATGAAGAAGGCTGTTCCGAACCTTCGTTTGATCCAGTCGAGGTGGGTTGCAGCTTACAAAAGCAGTGAGAGGGTTCGAACCAGGATTGTTGCGAAAGACTTCAATCGTGGCTCCTCAGCTAGATCTTTGGGATTTAGTAGTCCTACCCCTTCGATTGAAAGTGTTCATTTGGTGCTTGCAATGGCAGCGACACGGAAGATGCTTTTGCGTGCATTGGACGTGAGTCATGCCTTCATGCATAGCCCATTGGGAACTGGCGTACATGTTGTCTTGAAAATGCCGTTGTCGATAGTTTTCCATCAGGTGAAGCGACCTACTATTTGCTTGAAAAGGCATTGAACGGGTTACGTGATGCTTCACTGGCATGGTTGCAGCTTTTGACATTTACGGTTGAACATGTAGGCCTTTGGTCTGATTCGTTGGAACCATGTGTGTATGGTGGACAGATTGTGAAAGATGGTCATGAGATTGGGTTTTGTTTGTGTGTGGTGTATGTTGATGACATCTTGTTGTTGTCGACCACTAAGGAAGCCGAAGAACATGTGGTTGCAACTTTGTCGTCTGTAGTGCCTGTGAAGACAACTGGAGAGATCGGAGAAGAGGGAGGATCCCTGACCTTTATTGGTCGTGTTATCAAGAGAGAAAGAGATTCCTCTGAGATCACTCTGGGTGTCGATCCACATTATCTTGACTCTACGTTTCTGGATTATGGCGTTACCCGTGGGTCGGAGAATGTGCCTGATATTTCAGGACATCTTGAGAAGACACTCACGGATAGCAACTTTCAGAAACCTTTGTCAGATGAAGCATACTCACGCTTCAGAAAGGCGTTGGGAAAATTGCTTTGGTTGTCACAGGTGCGTCATGACTTGAAGACATGGATGTCTGTTCTTGGGACACAGCAAGCGAAACCGATGCACGGAACTGAACAAGCATTGAAAGCAGTTTTGAGATTCTTGTATGTTGACATGCATGCATGCTTGTGTCTACCGAGCAGAGATGAGACCATCATGAGTCAGGTTGACGATACTCAACTGAGATCAGTCCATCTTCACTCTTTCAGCGACGCTTCACATGCACCGTACCGTTTCAACAACCGCAAAGGTGTTAGCGGTGGAGCTGTTTTCTTTGAGAGGTCATTGGTAAGGTCTCTGAGCCGACAACAGCAAGCTTTGAGCTTGAGTTCATGTGAGGCAGAACTTTATGGTTTGCAATCAGTGTGTCAAGAAAGTGTTGCGTTTGGAACACTGGTTCACCGTCTTCTGTTTGCACTTCATGAGATCGATGAGCCAGAAGAAGTTGTGATTTGGTTGGAGAGCGATTCAAGCTCCGCATTGCAACTTGTGAGGTCCATGGACGTGCCACGACGTTCACGACACATTGAGATAAGATTGCATTGGTTACGAGAGCAGATGAGAGAGGGTTTGTTGAAATTGAGACACAGGAGTGGTGTTGAAAATCCAGCAGATCTTTTCACTAAATGCTTGAGTGCTAAAGCTTTCTATAAACACCGTTATGCTCTTGGGATTGTTGTTCCAGATGGTTTGACAGCTGAGTTAGCAGAACTTCGTGAGCTGAGTGTGTTACAACAAGTGTTGACTCAGGGTTCTTCAATTGCGATTGTGGAACTGTGTTGTTCGGAACATTCGAATTTGAGAAAAATCTGTGAAGTTTCAAAGGTCCCATACATTGGTGTAGTTGCTAAGGTGCAGAGTTCTGGAACGTTGAGTCGTGTAGCTGTTTGCATTCGACAGTGGAAGAATTCGTCATGTCCACCCTGGGTGCATATTCATGCATCGACTCCTTGTGGAAGTGTAAGTCCACTTCGCAATTTCAATCCGGACTCAGTCACTGAAAAGGACCAGGAATGGGATGAGATCATCAAGGCGATTGGTGGTTACTTCAAACATGCAGACTCATGTTCGTTTGAGCTTCCAGAACGAAATACCATTTGGTCCCGACCTGAGACAGTGAATCTTTTGCAGAGTTTTGACATGAGGCATGAGGCTTTGGTGAGGTTGTGCAAGACTGGATGTCAGAACAAGGATGGTATTCCGATTGGAAAGACATTGAAGTTTGTTTCCAATTCAGCCTGGTTTGCGCTAAATCTTCATTCCAAACTTTCTACATGCACATGCCAGACTCATGCAGAACTTTACCAGATCAACTATACTGAAACAGCGTTTTACAACCGAAAGTTGGCAAGATACATTTTGATTGCGGTCAAACATGCTTCGAAGAAGAGTTGAATTTTCGTTTAAAAAGGGGACCCTATGACTGTGAGAGAGAGACAGAAGTTGACGTCACGTTTCATTTGCCTGTTTTGCATTTTGTTTCAAACAAACGTTGCCAAAGACAAACAGGAGTTTTCACCATGTTTCATTTTGTGCAGAGTTTTGTTGCGCGATGCTGTAAGATGCGGTGTGCGCAGCGCAGAACAACCTGAAAGGTAACTGATCCTATCACGACTGTGATGGCGGTTCGACACTTCGTTTCACGTTCTAAGTTGATTGCTCCTAAGAGTTTAGCCACGGTCTAGTGCTTTTTCACTACCGGACGCGGTTTGGTTTGTAGCCATGGCCAAGTCTGGATGGACAGATGAAGATGAGAAGGCTTTGCTTGGTCTTCTTCAGAAGAAGTGGCACAGTGAGAATTCAGGGTCAGGCTATGCAGCCGGATCCAGTATTTTGACTCCTTTGGAGAGTCAAGGAGCAATGACAGATGGAAGCAAGCGACTTCGTGAGGCTCTGGATGATGATGAATTCGATGTGATTTCTTCGGCAGCTGAACCTTTGAGTGCGCAGTTGCCTGTGATGCCTATCCCAATCTTTCCTGGGATCGCCGACAAGGTCCTTGATCAGCTTACTGCTGATTTGGTGCCTGAAGGCATGAGTTTTCGAGATTGGAGCAGAACGAAGTTTGCGTTTGGAAAGTTTGCCAACGAGGGCAAAACATACCGAGAGGTATATGTTGATTATGAAATGGCCGGATATTGCAAATGGAGTATGTGTCACCTGGGAAACAAGAGTACAAGTCCAAGCAATACTTGAGTTGAAAACTCATGATGAATTATGACAACAAAGTTGAATTTGTTTGGAAGTTGTTAAACAACTTCCTTACAAACCAAAACACCTTTCCAAAAAAAAAAGATGAACAAGTTGTCTTGGTGGTAACACCAACTGAATGTTGCAAGCAAAGTGCTTGCTCATTTTCGTGCTGTTCTTGCACATGCGATGTTTTTATGTTTGAAACGAAACAACTTTCTTTTGAGGTTTAAGGTTGTTTCTCCAGATGTTATTTGTCTGTTACGAAGCTATCTGTGAATTTGAATCAATGTTATGTCCGGTATTTTACAAGTCAAGGGTGGGCGCGGAGGGTTTCAAAAACCTTTTTCCAATTTTTGTGGAGCGTTCATGCGCAACAGAGCCATTCAGAAGGGTCACACTGCATTCAAGTCACCGCTGTGCTTGGGAAGTCAACCTGCACCAATTTTTGGTACATCAGCTGTGGCAATCACTGGAATTCTGACTGGATTTATCCTGGCTTTTGCGATTTTCATTGCCTGGGTTTTCTCCATTGATGCCTAGACTGTTGTGTGACTTGGAACGCTTTACAAACGGCTATCGAATTTCTGGGCCCTTTGTTTCTGAGTTGTGGCTTTCATTTGAGATTTCCGTCACCTTGATTGCATTTTTGGACACTTTCTCACAAGCACGCCTGCATCTTTGCTGCGTTGTCCTGCAGGTGGATCGTACGGAAATTGGTTTGGGTGCCACAGAGAAACGGCTCCAGATTCAACTGGAAAGCTGGGGTGTTCCCACACCACCAGTACAACCTTGTCTACCCAGGGTCCCATCGGACTCAACGTCCAGTTTTAGCAGTTTCGATGGCCAATCAGACTGAGCACACAGTGGAAAAAGGGGAGAAGAGAAGTTTTCATGCTCTCTTTGAGCACATTCAATTTTGTGAGCGATCCATGAAAAGGTCTGCACTGAAATATCCATGGCAGCTTGGTTTCATGGCAGATTCAGACCAGTCGGCATTCCCTAAGGGCCCACTGGGTATGTCTCCAGTGCTGCCTGCTGCGGTGTCAAGTTCAGATCATGCGGAGCCGGCTGATGAAAAGCTGGCAAGTGCTTTTGATGATCATTGCAGAAGACTTTACTGCAAGCTGCCTCAGGTGGAGTGGGATGTGCACCTGGACTCTCAACGTAGCGCTGCTTTGGCTAAGTGGCACAAAATTGTTCTGTCCGACCCTATGTCTTTTGATGTGTGCAGGATGCATTTTCAATCGTTGAAGACGGGACTCCAAAGAGGCAAGCTTCAGGACGATTTGAAAAATGTCTTCTCGAGCAAGAGCACTTCCACACTTCATGGTAGGGCTGGTCCTATGATGCGATTTTTGCATTTCTGCGGAGACAAGCAACTGCAGGCTTTTCCTATCACAGAAGAGGTTGTGTATGCGTTTATGCAACATGTTGAGCAGTCTGCAGCACCAACCTTTTTGAGGAGTTTCCTCAGCTCCTTGGGATTTGCCCTGCATGTGGTTGGTTTGATCGGTGCCAAGCGAGTTTTGGATTCCAGGCGCATCAAGGGCCTAGCAGACAAGTGTTACCTTCAGAAGAAAAAGACGAGATCGAGGTTGCCTCTATCGGTTGCAGAACTGACAACACTGGAAGAAATCGTTCTTGGTTACCGAGGACGTGGAATCCCAGACAGACATGCAGCTGGATGTTTCCTTTTCATGGTGTACGCACGCACCAGGTTTTCGGACATGCTCAACGTTGGGCGTTTGGATTTCGAAGCTGGTGAAAATGAAGAGGGATACATAGAGGCGCAGGTTGCCAGGTCCAAAACCTCCTTTTCTGTCGACAGAAAGGTCCGTTTGCTTCCTATGACAGCTGCAATGCATGGCGTCACTGCAGAACCTTGGGGAAGTGCATGGAAAGCGGTGCTAGAGAAGACCGGCATCCCCATCACACATGGAAAGCCGCTACTGCCTGGGAGGACTCCTGATGGCTGGCACACTTTACCATTGACTGCGGAGGCGGCAACGAGCTGGCTTCGTAGTATGTTGCAGTCAGGGGATCGATTCCAAGAGGAGAGAACCAAGTCCATAGGGACGCATTCATGCAAGTCCACCATTTTGTCGTGGATGGCGAAGTGGGGCTCTTCACCGGATCTCAGGAGACTGATGGGGTACCACGTCGCTGACAAGATGTCAACGATGCTCATATACGGTAAAGACAACACCAGTGCAGGGCTTCGCGAAATCGATGTGATTCTTGAGGCGATCAGGCAGGGTGAATTTTTGCCCGATGCAAAGCGATCTGAGATGTTTCCCAATGCCGATGATGCTGCAAAGCTTCTGGAGAGCCAAGACCAAAGCGGTTTTGATGGCTACTGTTCTGGAAGCTCTTCAGAGGACTCTGCAGATGAGGACCAACCTGACCACCTGGCTCATGAGACAGCAGAGAATGCGATCCTCGGCAAGTGGGACGCGGGTGTGGACGTCGACAAGCTGCCCGAAGAGGCAGTTTATTTCAGGCATCCTTTGTCGAGGACGATTCACGTCCAAGAGGACGAATCGGGTATCAGGTTCACTTGTGGCAGGGACATTTCAAAGAGCTACGTACCACTTGAGTCTCGACCTCAGTCGCTTCTACCAATTTGCAAACAATGTTTTGCCAGATTCAGAAAGGTACATGTATGATGATTGACATGTTTTGCGTCAAGTTGAAAAAGACTCGCAGCCCTTTGAATGAACGTCGAAGCAGGGAATTTCGTCAAAAGTGTCGGCCTGAGTTTAACATTCTTTCATTGATGTGAGTCATGCTGCACTTGTATGTTTGTGATCTCAACACGTGTCTTGGAAGTTTGAATTCACCACGTATGTTCACGTCAAACATCATCATTCAGATTGAGAAACCTTGACCAACGGGCAGCTTGAAGGGAAATGCCCCATCGGACAGTGTCGGCTCCAAGCGTCACTCTCAGAAAAACTCAAGCAGTTTGGCCAAGTTTTCACTCTTACCATGCTTCAAATTTCAATTTTGTAATTTGTAGAGAGTTTCAAGTTTCGTCACGCCTGTCCAATCATGTTCATTTCACCAAGTTTGAAAGAACTCCGTGCGGTCCGTATCCATGTCATTCGCTGACAGCGTGCCAGTTTTCAAAGACAGGGCTGCCTCAGCGGGACTGAGCGAGGAGATTCGGACCAGTTTGGATGGCGCTGGGCTCAACACACTTTCAAAGTTTGCTTTTGCAAGTTCATATGTGCCCGGTGCCGGCGATGATGCAGAGTTTGTTAAGACAGTGAAATCAGTACTTGGAAGGGACCCTACGTTGGGAGAGCTGGCATCCTTTCGAAAACTTTTGCATGAGTCCTACTCACTTGTGACACAAGAAATGAAGCAGCAATTGGAAAGGAGTGAGGATGTCCAGACGCGTAAGTTGACACAACCAGAACGCGCGGACCTCTATGAAAGACAGGTCAAGCGCATCACAGGTCTGACGTTGCGTGGGCCCTTGGAACCAAGTGATGGCCTTGTCGATTTGTTCTGTGCGATGTATGAGGCAAACAGGCTTCGATTTGTGCCTTGGGAAAAGTACACGGCAAAAGAAGCAGAGATCGACAAGGAAGTGCGCACAGAGCATTTGTTTGCTGTGGACTCAAGTGGCAAGCTTAAAGTTGAAGGCAAAAAGCCGGACCCTGTAGCAGACACCTCAACGGAGATTTTGCTTCAGTATGCGCTCCAGCGTAGAGGGTTGAGCATGGATCAGGCCAATTTGTTGGAGTTCAGGACCCACCAATTATGGGTCGACCGCTTGCTCAAAGTGAGATTGCAAGTGCCTCCTGCAGGTTATTCAAGAACCTCCTTCCGTCAGGTGCTCGAAGCTGACAAAAAGCTCTTTGAGGAGCTTGCCAATGCCACGAGGCACGGTGTGCAGGCCACAGTCAATGGTAGGCCTCTTGACCTAGTCTTTGAAGACTGCATGAACAAACCAGAAGTTGTTCACTTGCTTCAGCCTTTGATGGGTAAGAGCACGGACTACAAGAGTGAGGATAAGCCTGCCCCGAAAAGGCCTAGTCCATATAGGTCACCAAACCCTAGCAAGAGCAAAGGCAAGGGCAAAGCACAAGGCAAGAGCAAAGGGTCCCCCAAGATGCCTTTGGTTCTTCTCAATGGAGGATGTAGAGCCACAACAAATGCAGGAGATGCAATATGTTACGGATTCAACTTGGGGACGTGTACGAACAAGGTCAATGCTGGACGTTGCGATAGAGGTTATCACGTTTGTGCATTGCCGAAATGTGGCAAACACCATGCCTATGTGAACTGCCCCTCGAAGCCGTCGGGCTCTTGACTAGAAGCCCAAGAGCCTGAAGAGAGTCAGGAAGGTGAGCTGCAACGAGCAGAATCACCTAGGAGTTCAAGTCACGAAGGTGACGCCTCAACTTTGATTCCCGAAGTGGCAATTGAAGAAAAGCCTGAAAGGTGCTTCAAAGAACCCTTTCTTTTCATTGAAGCTTGTTGTGGCAGCGCACTACTCAGTTCGTGTGTTTCTAAAGCTGGCTTTGATGTGTTAGCAATTGATTTTCATGGCAACAAGCACCGACCCTTTGTGCACGTTGTTGAATTAGATTTGCGAAAGCAATCCACATGGAGTTTCTTAGAACATCTGGCACGGTCAAGGCGACCTTTCCACTTTCACGCAGCTCCACCATGCGGTACAGCTTCGAGAGCTAGAGATGTAGCTCTCACAGAAGATCAACATGGACCCCCACCACTGCGTTCAGAGGAATATCCCATGGGTTTTCCATGGCTTACTGGTTTTTGGAAAGACAAGGTAGACTCTGCAAATTCGATCTATATCCATTTGGTGGCTTTTTGTTTCTGGTTGAACCTTCTTCATATTGGATGGAGCATTGAGAATCCGGGACGAAGCTACCTTTGGAACATCGAGGATTACAAAATTTTAATGTCGGCGGCTATTTTCATACTCTTTCACTCATGCATCCACGGCAGTGACAGGAAAAAGCTTACTGCGTTGCTCACCAACCGAGCCCAATTTCAGGTTCTTGCTGGATACTGTCAAGGAGACCACGAACATCTGCCGTGGAGGCACAAGAATGAAAATGGACGTGTTATATTCGACACTAGCAAAGAAGCTGCTTATCCAAAACTTTTCTGCGAGCGGTTTGCAAATGTGCTGGCGGACATGGCCGGCATCGCGGACTCCCAAACCACGGGTGGCTTGTATGACAAAACTGCTTTAATGGACGCAAGAGTGGCTACACACAAACAGCCACGAGGCAGAAAAATTGCCGCTCTTGTGCCTGAGTATGCGCAGGTGCAGACAGTTCGAACACCTGTCCATGATGAACCTCTTCTTTCAGATAAGCGGATTCTACTTGAAGCATTTGCGGGCGTGCCAGCCGGCAGCAAGCTTCTCAGATTTGCTAAAGCGAAAAGGGGGAATGCTGGAGATGATACTCAGTTCGTCATTAGGGTTTTCGGCATTTACAGGACAATGCAAGACTTTTTCCAACTGTCAACAAATGTCTTACATCCTTTTGATTCCTTCAGAGCAGTACCCGATCAGCTACTGAAAGTGGTATGCAGAATCCTCGGCAGATCACCACTGGAAACAATGAAGTTGCGTCTGGAGACAATTAAGAAGTGGCGAAGCCTCGCAGATTCACTGGCTGAGGAAAACAACCAAATATTTTCTAACATGGATGCTGGTTGCTCCCTGTTTTTGAAAGGCAAACACCTTGCCCTTCTCGAGAAACTGGCGACTGACTATGACTGGCCTGACAAGAACATACACCAAGAAATCAGGAAAGGTTTCAAACTCATAGGACTTCAAGAACCTTCAGGCGTGTTTTCAGCTGACATTAAACCGAGATCTCTTACGGAAGAAGAACTTGTCAAACAGCTGAAGTTCTTGAAGCCGGCCCTTTGGGGAAAGGTTCAGGCCTCCCCAAAAATGGACTACGAAGAAGATCTGTGGGAAGCAACCATGCAAGAGATGAAAGAAAAACACTGGTTAGAGGGGCCGTATTCCAAATGCGAATTGGATGTGCTTTTTGATGACGATTGGTTGCCGGTGCGCCGGTTTGCAGTATGGCAGCGTTCGAAATGGCGGGCCATAGATGACTTCTCAGAATGCGGAGTCAATTCAACTTTCTCTTACCTGGAAAAGGTGGATTTGAAGGCGTTGGATGAGATCGTGTGGATGGCTTGTTGTTTCGTCAGGTACTGTGTCTTTGAGAGTCGTTTCGACTTCACTTTGGCTTCTGGCGGAAAGCTGTGTGGGAGCGTTGACGCCGAATGGAAACAGATGCCTGAAGGTGCAATCCAGTTGGTGGCAAAGACCGTTGATTTGAAATCCGCGTATAAACAATTTCCCATATGTCCCGAACACCGCAGGTATTCAACTCTGATCCTCAAGAAGCCGAGCGATGGGACGGTGATGGGATTTGTTTCAAAAACACTTCCATTTGGAAGTGTGGCATCTGTTTTACATTTCAATCGGATCTCGAGGCTCTTGCATATGTTAGGCTTACAGTTGGATGTTGCGTGGACAAATTATTATGACGATTTTCCTGTGGTAGATTTCAAAGTACTTGCAGATCACACTTCCGCTGCAATCAGGGCTTTGACATCGATGCTTGGGTTCGAGTGCTCTCTAGACAAAGAGCTACCTTTTGCGGAGACAGCAGAAATGCTTGGAGTCGTGCTCGACCTGCAACATGCCAGTGCTGGTACAATCAAGGTAGCGAACAAGCCGAGCAGGATGGACGAACTTAAGTCCACTGTGCAACATATCATTGCTTCAGGCAGGGTTGTTACCAAAGACTTGCCATCGCTTTTTGGAAGGGCTTTGTTTGTGGAAAGCCAATTCATGGGAAGAGAAGGACGGCTGGCCTTGTCGGAGCTGAGAGTCATGGAACGCAGCAAATCACAATTTGTTGAACTTTCAGCTGCACAGATGGATGCTCTTAAGAACTTGCTTACGAGGTACCATAAAGCAGTGCCGAGGTCTTTGAAGATTGAAAGCACTTCCATGCCGCTTGTTTTGTTCACTGATGGTGCCTGTGAACCCGTTGGCGATGACATTTCATGCACAGTGGGTGGAGTCATGTTTGATCCGAGAGGTGGCGGTCAAGTTGAAGTTTTCGGAGCACATGTCAGTTCCGAAGTTGTAGAGTCATGGAAGCGAGCTGGAAAGAAACATCCGGTTGCGTTGACTGAGTTGTATGCCGTATGTGTTGCACGGCACTTGTGGAAAGACAGGATGGACGATTACAAGTGTGTGGTGTTTATAGATAACCAAGGCGATGTGGATGCTCTTATCAAAGGATATAGTTCAGAAGATACGATGAAGTCCCTTCTGATCCTGCTCGAAAAGCTGGATGGTGACAAGCCGTTTTTGCCTTGGTTTTGCAGAGTTCCCTCTCAGTCGAACATCTCGGATTTGCCTTCCAGAGGTAGGTGGAAAGAGTTGCGTGAGATTTTGCCAGATTATGTCTTTGTAGAAGCAGTTTGTCCGTTTGATTCCAAGAAACTCCATACCGTTTTGCAAGAGGAAAAGCATGGCTGAAGGAAATGGGGAAAAACGAAAGCGTAGTTTGTCAAACAAACTTCAGAGCCAAGAATCAAAAATGCGTACAAAGCGATTGAGCTTCGAAAAGAGCGAAGCGCTTTTCTTTTCAGTCGAGGGATTGAAAAGATCAAAAAGTTTGAACGAAGAGTTCGTGATGAAGTGAAATTCCGAGAGACCGTTTGAACATCCCCAATCGTTCAGCCGTGCGCTGGGAAAAAGATCAGACCGTTCTGTCTCGTGCATCTCAACTGTGAATATATATATATATGTTTATATATATTCGATATATGCGTGTTCTTATTCTTACCGTGGCGATAGCCTCACCAAGTTTTTAGATTTGTAGTCGCGCGTTTGAAACATTGTTTATAGCGACTTCATTTCACGCGTGTTTTGGTTTGTGTTCAACTTTATGTCATAAGCAATACTTGAGTTGAAAACTCATGATGAATTATGACAACAAAGTTGAATTTGTTTGGAAGTTGTTAAACAACTTCCTTACAAACCAAAACACCTTTCCAAAAAAAAAAGATGAACAAGTTGTCTTGGTGGTAACACCAACTGAATGTTGCAAGCAAAGTGCTTGCTCATTTTCGTGCTGTTCTTGCACATGCGATGTTTTTATGTTTGAAACGAAACAACTTTCTTTTGAGGTTTAAGGTTGTTTCTCCAGATGTTATTTGTCTGTTACGAAGCTATCTGTGAATTTGAATCAATGTTATGTCCGGTATTTTACAAGTCAAGGGTGGGCGCGGAGGGTTTCAAAAACCTTTTTCCAATTTTTGTCCCTCCCACCCAAAACCCAAAAAATTCCAAAGTACACAACCGAGCGGGAAAAACGAAAGCGTAGTTTGTCAAACAAACTTCAGAGCCAAGAATCAAAAATGCATACAAAGCGATTGAGCTTCGAAAAGAGCGAAGCGCTTTTCTTTTCAGTCGAGGGATTGAAAAGATCAAAAAGTTTGAACGAAGAGTTCGTGATGAAGTGAAATTCCGAGAGACTGTTTGAACATCCCCAATCGTTCAGCCGTGCGCTGGGAAAAAGATCAGACCGTTCTGTCTCGTGCATCTCAACTGTGAATATATATATATATGTTTATATATATTCGATATATGCGTGTTCTTATTCTTACCGTGGCGATAGCCTCACCAAGTTTTTAGATTTGTAGTCGCGCGTTTGAAACATTGTTTATAGCGACTTCATTTCACGCGTGTTTTGGTTTGTGTTCAACTTTATGTCATAATTGCAAAGGATTGGTATTCTTTTCTCTGCGCATGCAAGGTTGTGGAGGACTCTGGAAAGGTTGGAAAGCCAAAGGGTTGCTTCACTGGAACTTCAGTGCAGAGGCAGCTAGGTGATTGAGAGTATCTTCATTGGTGCAAAGGCGAAGAAAAGACTATGAGCTGGTTGTTCATTGGATGGTGGACAACGGGACAATTCGTACTATATGTATTGACCTGTCGAGTTTGAGCAATATGTGCTGAAGTCTGGATGGGTTACAGCGTATACCTATGGAATTGAGTTCATCTCAAAAAGGGGTGTGAAAATTTGACATCTGTGGTGAGATGAATCCATTGATCTTTTCCGCATTGGAAGAAGTGAATTTGGTTTTCATCTTGATGATGAGCTCAACCGTGATGGTTGACATCGTATTTGCACGTTTCATGTTTTGCACGTTTTATTGAGATGACGAAACCCAACAACGATATACTTTTCGTCTTCTTTGAGTACTTTGATTGCACGGAGAACATCGTGAGGATTTGAATTTGTATAGTGACATGGAAAATCAAACCATTTTCCATATACTTTGCTTTAGTTTTCGTCGACGAAGTGCACGAAGGAATCGTGAGAAGATCGTAGAATTCATTTTTGTGACTTCGGAAGAAGGAACTTTGTTTGACATTGATTGGAGAAGAGTAGTGTGTTTGTCTCTCAATGATGATAGCGAGAGCAACGTTCTGAAAGGCATTCAGAACTGGAGTTGCTAACAGATCTGAGGGAGACATCATGAATCATGTTTTGGTGCTTGAAATGTTTCAACAATTTTCAAACACTCAAACTTATTTAAACAAACAAACCATGTCTTGATGTAAAGACTTTTTGTGAGGACATGTGTTTTTGATCGCTTTTGTGAGAGTTAGCAGAAAGATGCTGACTGGCGACTCCGCATCGTTTTGTGTCAAGGCGTGACACACCAACAAGAACCATAGCGACATGAGCAAGACATCTTTCTGTGCTTGTGTGTTTGGTAATAGTGGCTGAGCTCTGGGAGTGTTTGACTTGGTTGCGTGGACGGTCTAGTGAGTTAAGGACGACGTCCTGGACGCTGACCCAAGTAGGTTTCGAAGGTTACAGTACCTTCCGCACAGGGCGCGCTCAGAGTCCGCTCAGTTGTCCTTTTCCAAGCATCAGCATCACAATTGCGGTTGCGGGAAGCACCACTGGGCTAGTGCTCCTGCAAGTAATCTTCATGGTATGGGAGGTTGTGCTCATCATCAGTACATTGTGATATCTGTGCATTGAGTTCTTCCGATGACGTGCTAGCTCCTTTGGCTGTATGATCCAGCAACAGTATGGCCTTCTGCGCTTGGGTTACTTCGTAGCTGGCAGAGATTGTACAACTATCTAATATACAGCCAATTTGGCGGAGTTGGCGTATGGCAGCTTCCAGGTCCGTAACTCTTTGGGATGGGATATTCTGGATGCCTTGAAGCTTCTGAGATGCCTTATTCAGCAGGTTTGTGGCAGCTTCTACTTCACTGGTAGTGACCTGGCACAGGGTCAGTTGAGTAATTGACTTTGCGAGGCGATGGACAGCAGCGTCTTTGTTAGAAGTCTGACGATCCATACTTCAAGGTTAACTCGCACGCAAGGTATTCTGTAAGCGGAGGGCCTCTGGGCGCTCAGTTCAATAGCAGTGCTGCAACCTTGTCGAGGAAAGACATGGGAACGTCTGGTGGAAGTCATTTGGCCGATCGGTGTGTTGGTTGAACGAAGGTCAAACGGCAACGGGCACCAGCTTGATGTACTTTGACATCGTCCTACGCTACCATAAAACACGCTACATGAAGTAAAGGCCCCCCTAAATGGGTTATTATAATCACCCCCCACCTCCTCCCTTCCCCTATTGACACCGGCAAGCTTACCACGGCATTAGATACAATGGATAGTGGTCAACCATGGGTACCCCATGGTGACAGAACTTCTCAACCCCGGTCTTAACCATGGTTAACGTCATGCATGGCAACCGTGGGCACCCCACGTTAGCCCTAGTAGCTTACTGAAACTGCACGGACTGACTGGTGTAGGGTTTATCACGGCTACCGGTGCTACTGGATGTGGCTTTTGCAGGGGGTGGGTCACTACTCTCGGCTGGTTTCATCATTTGGGCAATGAGTGGATGGCTCTGCTTTTCGCGCAGGATCCTGGTCATTTCGCGACTGAAGGCTGCAGGGTCATCAACCAGTGCCTTTGCTTCAGCTAGTGGCTTATCAAGGACAATGGCGATGAGCATTTCGCCACCGTCTTTCTGGATCAGGGCAGGTCGGCCGGCTTGCACCTCTGCAAGGATTGCCACTGCCTTGTTTTCGCACAAGGTGCGTTCCCTTTCCTCTAGGGCTCTTTGAGCTAGGGTGTCAGTTTGTGGTGCGGCCTTGTGAGCTGCCGATGTCCCTAACGCACGGATGAGGGGCTATCAGGTAGCGTGGGAGATGGTAGCTTGTTGATAGCCGCTACTGCACGTAAAATGTCACTTTCTTTGACTTCATACGAAGGGGACGTTTTCTTTCCAATGGCAGGCTCAGAATCAGCCCATAGTTGCTGCAGCGTGTATCCTGGTTTTGGCTCCATGTATCGTCTGTTCCATACTGCATGGTGAGACCATTGAGGTGCGTCATGGTTGAGTTCGACTGAGTCTCTTTTCATGTCATATTCTTTGAGCATGTCATCTAGTTCTTGCTGACTCGCGGATCGATGAATACAACATTGTCTGACGGCATCATCGATGTGCAGTGGCCATCCTACGGGCATGTGGGAGTCCTCAAGGAGTCCATCCCCATTTTGCTCGATGATTGTGCCTAGCATAGGGACATCGATTGCCTTCAGGCTAACCTGCGCACGTTTGCACTTCCACGTGTCAGGTGCTAATAAGCTTTGGGCAGCCAGCAGTTCAAGCGATGGGAATTCCGGTTGGTCTTTCATCGGCAGCACCTCTTCCTTAATGACTAACTTCAGCCCGTGCAGTGGCTGGGGCTGCTGCCCTTGGGGGTCTTGATTGGGTTGAGGCGTAGTATCCTTGGGTGCTGCAGTGTCTTCAAACCAGGTGGGGCGGACCGACTGGACACCTATGTAACTGGCGGGACTTGCGCTTTTGATGCTTTCTCTGCGCAGGCTGTGGTATACTGGAGGGATCATCCATGCCGGCACAAACACAGTGATAAACTGCACGTTCCAGATGACCTGCAGGTTCTGTGGCTTGATTTCCGGAGTGATGCATCTCACTTGACCATCGATCACTCTAGTATATGATTCGGAGCGGTCAAACGATGCTGTGACTTTCAAGCCGAGGTATAGCTCTCTAAACCAGTATTCCTTGAGCAACATAAAGGAAAGATGAGGTGCCCTCACTTCCAATACGTGTGTTGCTGGTATTAGAAAGGTGACTAACCATTCAGCTAAAAATTCAATCATCTTTGCTTCAAGCTTTGGGAGGATAGTCTGTACCGCTCGGAGCGCTGCCGCAATGTCTGGGACATGTGTAGGTGAGGGCAGTCCGACTGTTCGCCTGGCATATTCATCGGCAAAGTAGAGTCTGCACAACTTAGAAACCCACTGGCTCGGTTTCTCCATATCGATTGTGATCTTAGCCAGGGGCCATGGGTCTGGAAGCGTGGACAGGCAATGCAGTAATTCTGAAGTCAGGTCTGAGGAAATAACTGGGAGAGCTTCACCTTGCGGACGATAGTCTACCCCCGGCCCTACTGTGCCCTTGCTTCTTTGT